GGTAGCAAAGTGCAGCCATGTGGATGAATGGAGATGAGCCCAAAAAGTGTTTGTCACCAGAGCAGTTTAGAACGTGTTGTGACGTTTGACTTTACCGGCGTAATTCAATTTCAATAAATGTAAATCGCAGACTGTCGGCCACACTTGATAACTTGAAAACGAGCACTTGAAACCAACTTTCTACAAAATTGTGTCCTACCCGGACGGAAAACAGTGACGCACATAACACACAGCCCTTCTACAGGAGTGTGGGGGGAGGGTTCTTGAAATGTAACATCCAATCAGAAACTTGTCGCTGGGAGCCAGCGGACCATTCAAACCGTTTTTGCAATACGAAATTCTCCAGACCTCCAAGGGAGGCTTGACAACAACGTGATTTTGGAGGTATGGCAACACGAGACTAGGTCCACACCAACTCATCCCATAATCGATGTAAAAGTTATGTAGATGGTTATTTTTTCCATTCAGCGCTGACTCAACTCCATTCAATTCCTATTATGTGTAAAATGCTTCTGAATGTCAACAAAAGAACAAGCAGCTCAATATGGAAAGAAAACAACAATTGATATCAAGCATTATTTTGTTTACCTCAGAGAACACCCATTATTTTGACAGCCATATTGAGGGAGTCTCTTGTTTTTCCATATCTGTTTTTGTGCATCCTCACGTGTGGGTTGCGTGTGTTCTGCTAAAGTTTCCAATGTGGGGGCGAGAGCGTGGGTGGGGGGAAAGGGGAGGGTTTTCTCTGTGGTTGGCATCCCCAAAAATCTCCCCAAATCACCCCCACGCAGAGAGAGAGACAGAAAGATAGAAAGAAAGAAAGAAAGAAAGAAAGAGGGAGGGAGGTAATCACAAGACCGATGCAGACTACTGCACATGGAGGACACGTTTCCTGTTTTGTGACACACGTCCTGTTCTGAACCAAACCGTGGTATCAGGCTTACCCCCCCCCCCACCTACCCACCCACCCACCAAACCCTCCAATGCACCACCAACACGCATAGTAAAACCTTTAGGAACTTTGACGTGGGGCTAGTGGTCTTGGTAGTGTGAGTGATGATTGTCGTATTGTCAGTGCCTGTAGCATTAAAGATATATTTGAGTCAGCCATACAATTAGGGTTAGCTGTGTTTGAACAGTACATTGTGTAACCACTGTTAGCTTTGTTTTCAGAGTTGAGTCTACTATACTTTGAGGAGAGGTTGTGGGATCGTCATCTGTGTGAGGACTTCCCCTCTGTGTAAACACGCAGGTGTGCACTCTTCTGTGGTCTGGCAGAGGACAAACCTTGACATAGTAGAAACATCCGTGTGATCTTTCTGGTTAACACATTATTTAGTAACATGGGACCATCAATCGCACAGTTAGTGTACAACTTAAACCGTACATCTGAGTGTCACATTACATGAACTTTACAGTATCTTGGTTAGTGAACCAATGTCATCAAAGTTAGTATATTTTGCCCCTCGGTCTAGAAATCAGAGTAGGAATGATAACAGTGCCATCCCTTTGAGACAGCAGCATCTACATTTCCCCTGCAATCTCTTTGAAACTCACTTGTACCCCCATCCATCGCCTTCGTCTGCCCCCCACCCTCCCCCACTCTCCCCACTGAGACACCTGTGCAGATATACTCAGAGATAAACTTTGTAATGCTTCCAGAGCAACAGGTGCACGGTGACGGTGACCACATCTCAACACTCAACATACACTCCACAAAACTGATGTTCCACCACATCAGCACATACAGTGCCTTCAGAAAGTATTCACACCCATTGACTTTTTCCACGTTTTGTTGTGTTACAGCCTGAATTTAAAATGGATTACATTTAGATTTTTGGTCCCTGGCCTACACAAAATACCCCATAATGTCAAAGTGGAATTATGTTTCAAATTAATAAAAAATGAAAAGCTGAAATGTTTTGAGTCAATAAGTATTCAACCCCTTTGTTATGGCAAACCTAAATAACTTCAGGAGTAAAAATGTGCTTAACAAGTCACATAAGTTGCATGGACTCACTCTGTGTGCAATAATAGTGTTTAACATGATTTTTGAATGAATACCTCATCTCTGTACCCCACACATACAATTATCTGTAAGGTTCCTTAGTCAAGCACTGAATTACAAACACAGATTCAACCACAAAGGCCAGGGAGGTTTTCCAATGCCTCGTAAAGAAGGGCACCTATTGGTAGAAGGGTAAAAAAAAAGCAGACATTGAATATCCCTTTGAGCATGGTGAAGTTATTGTTTACACTTGGTGTATCAATACACCCAGTCACTACAAAGATACAGGCGTCCTGCCTAACTCAGTTGCCGGAGAGGAAGGAAACTGCTCAGGGAGGCCAATGGTGACTTTACATTTAAAGTTTAATAGCTGTGATAGGAGAAAACAGAGGATGGATCAACAACATTGTAATTACTCCACAATACTAACCTAATTGACAGACTGAAAAGAAGGAAGCCTGTACAGTATAAAAATATTCCAAAACATGCATCCTGTTTGCAACAAGGCACTACAGTAATACTGCAAAAAATGTGGCAAAGCAATTTACTTTTTGTCCTGAATACAAATGGTTATGTTTGGGGCAAATCCAATACAACAGTACCACTCTCCATATTTTCAAGCATAGTGGTGGCTGCATCATGTTATGAGTATGCTTGTAATCGTTACGTTTTTCAGGATAAAAATACATGGAATGGAGCTAAGCACAGGCAAAATCCTAGAGGAAAACCAGTTTCATTCACCTTTCATCAGGACAATAACCTAAAACACAAGGCCCTACACTGGAGTTGCTTACCAAGAAGACTGTGAATGTTCCTGAGTGACTGAGTTACAGTTTTGACTTACATCTACTTGAAAATCTATGACAAGACCTGAAAATGGTTGTCTAGCAATGATCATCAACCAATTTGACAAAGCTTGAAGAATGTTGAAAAGAATAATGGGCAAATGATGCACAATCCAGGTGTGGAAAGCTCTTAGAGACTTACCCAGAAAGACTCACAGCTGTACATTTGCAAACATTTCTAAAAACATGTTTACACTTTGTCATTATGGGTTATTGTACTGTATGTAGATGTGTGAGACAAAAAACGATTCAATACATTTTCAATTCAGGCTGAAACCCAACTAAATGTGGAATAAGTCAAGGGGTATAAATACTTTCTGAAGGCACTGTACATATTCACAGTACAACACATGCGCACGCACGCACGCAAGCACACACAAAATGTAAGTCTCTTACACGCTCTACTCCAGGGTTCTTCAATTCCGGTCCTGGAGGGCCGAAACACTTCTGTTTTTTATTTCTACCTGGTAGTTAATTGCACTCACCTGGTGTCCCAGGTCTGAATTAGCCCCTGATTAGAAGGAGAGGATGAAAAACAGAGGCGTTTCGGCCCTCCAGGACCGGAATTGAAGAACCCTGCTCTACTCTCTCCCCCTCTCACACAAGTTTTCCTCTCTCTCTTTCCCTCCTCTCTCTCCCTCCAGTCGTCGTCAGTTTGGGCCTAAGGACCAGCAGGAGGTGAAGATCATTGAGCACCAGACCCAGTACATCAGACTGATGCCTCACCTGGCTGCAGCTCTGGCTCTCACCTTCACCACCAGGTACTGCTAGCACTTCCTCTACAGCAGGGCTCTCCAACCCTGTTCCTAGAGAGCTACCGTCTTGCAGGTTTTCGCTCCAACCCTAATCTAGCACACCTGATTCTAATAATTAGCTGGTTGGTAAGCTGAATTAGGTTAGTTACAACTGGGGTTGGATTGAAAACCTACAGGAGGGTAGCTCTTCAGGAACAGGGTTGGATTGAAAACCTACAGGAGGGTAGCTCTTCAGGAACAGGGTTGGATTGAAAACCTACAGGAGGGTAGCTCTTCAGGAACAGGGTTGGATTGAAACCCTACAGGAGGGTAGCTCTTCAGGAACAGGGTTGGATTGAAAACCTACAGGAGGGTAGCTCTTCAGGAACAGGGTTGGATTGAAAACCTACAGGAGGGTAGCTCTTCAGGAACAGGGTTGGATTGAAAACCTACAGGAGGGTAGCTCTTCAGTAACAGGGTTGGATTGAAAACCTACAGGAGGGTAGCTCTTCAGGAACAGGGTTGGATTGAAAACCTACAGGAGGGTAGCTCTTCAGGAACAGGGTTGGATTGAAAACCTACAGGAGGGTAGCTCTTCAGGAACAGGGTTGGATTGAAAACCTACAGGAGGGTAGCTCTTCAGGAACAGGGTTGGAGAGTCCTGCTCTACAGTGGAAAGGGAAGGGGGTCACTGCCGCAACCTTGCTTTCCAACCAAGGTGCATGAGGAGCAAAATGAGTTAGAGAGGAGATTCAGCAACACTTGGAGGACAATGGAATTAAATATAAAAGCTTCTTTATTGCAAAAAGTAAAACCTATGCGTTTCGGCTTTTGGCCTTCTTCAGGGTTTTTTCCTATAGACACATCAATATCAGAGAGAACTTTAGTCAAACACCACTTGAAACTGCCTCTACTCTCAGGGCCCTACACTGGCATATATAAAGGGAAACACTACTCTTAAACAGTGTTATTTCTTCCACATACTGGTGGGTTTGATGTTACTGACATAGTGGTGAAAAGAAGTTGTATCTGATGCCAGTAGATGACAGTCTTGTCACTATGATGATGTATTGTAGTGTCAGTGTTCTGTCTGTCAGTGTTCTGTCTTTCAGGATACTGTCTGTCAGTATACTGTCTGTCAGTATACTGTCTGTCAGTATACTGTCTGTCAGTATTCTGTCTGTCAGTATTCTGTCTGTCAGTATTTTGTCTGTACAGAACAGTTGTCTCTGTTATTTGGAAAATAAACAAATCAACATCATTGTTGTACAACATTACTAAAAATCACAGAGATTCTCTCCTTTTTCTTTTGAAGGTATGTCCCTCACAATTATATTGTATTATAATTATAGAACATCATACTAGGAATGTGTTCTAATTTCTTATGTTATGTGTCCATTGTGTGTGTTTCAGGTATGCAGCATGTATGATGGACCATGCTCTGTGCAAAGGAGAGGTTCTACAGAACAATAGTTCTCTCCAGGCTCTGGTTGCTGGACTCAAAGCCTACAGTACCTGGGAGAACCTCGCCTGCCTTCAAGAGTGCCGAGAGTGCACCGGGGGCATGGTGTGTGTGTGCGTTTGCTTGTATGTCTGAGTGTGCATGCCTGCATGCATACATGTGTATGTGACGCATATTATTCCAGTCCTATTTAAAATACCACAACTCCCCAGTCATCTGCTAACCATATTGCTTTCATTTAAAGACCAGGTCCATTGTCTAGTTCTGGATCTTGTTTTTGGATGATGGTGTCTCTTTCCCCACCTCTGACACTGTGACCATGTCCATGTAGAGTGCAGAGGGTTCTTGGAGGTCATTTCTGTCTACTCATTCAGTGGATACAATACTGCTGTTGTAGGGGATAGTTTCATTGTAATAAGTCTAATGCTGTGATGAATAGGTTTGAGTGTTTCTCGTTGAGGTGATCTAAGGGCAACTTGGGAAACCACAACGCTGCACCTTGTCATGTGGGAGTGCTCGCATCTCTTGAGTGTCTGATCCTACACAGACCGCACTTTGTAGTGACACCATCTGACTTTTACCTGCTTATTTCACTGCTTTCAAAAGTGAAGCTGTTTTGAAATAGTTTTTTAAAATTATTTATGAAACAACAATGAACATGTTTGAGTCTCATTTCTCAAGTCAGAATATTCTTTAGATATTGTAGGAATGATTTCTGACTTATAGTTATTATTCTTTACAACGTGACTCCTACACCGTTTAAACTAGAAACGCTGTTCAAACTTTAAAACGTGTAGACTGGTCTGGAATATTGTGCTTGCATACAAGTTTTTGTCCTTTTTAATGTCCTCCATTCACTTTCATGGGAGTTCCTCAGCATTTTAAAGGTCCCATTGTGACGTCATCACTCCCCAACAACTTTTGACACAAATCAGCTACTTTGACCACTTTCCCAACAACTGAGATGAAAAGTTAGTGGGTGAAATCTTCTTCTACTTCTCTGCTGTTCACATCTGAAATCAGAATCGAATGATCTGGTACCGATCAAACGTTACAGCTGTTTAAGTAACCGCATCAACAACATTTCCTCTAACATTTTATAAACAACTGACATTTTTACCACTTTCCCAACAAGTTAGACAAGAAGTTGAAGGGTATGACATTTTCGTCTGCTTCTCTGCTGTTCAAATCTGAAGTCGGAACAAATATGTATCCTACCGATCAAACGTTACAGCTGTTTTAGTAACCGCATTAGCAAACCAAATATCGAACTTTTTACAAACAACTTAATTTCTTTCCACCTTCCCAGCACTTTAGACAAACACGTAGAGGCTATGACATCTTGGTCTACTTCTCTGCTATTCAAATCTGGAATCAGAACAGAATAATCTTCTACCAATCAAAAATGACAGCTCTTTTAGTAACGGCATCAACTACTTTTCGTCTCAACTTTTACAAACAACTGAATCTTTGACCACATACCCATCACTTTAGACAAAAACTTAAAGGGTATGACATCTTGATCTAATTCTCTGCTATTTAAATCAGAACATAATTATCTACTACCAATCAAGAGGTACAGCTGTTTTAGTAACCACATCACCTCATTTAGCTACCTTCACACTGTTGAATTAAATGCCATGGAACTTTTCAGAACTTTCAAATGTAACAATGGGGGAGCACATAAGACTTATTATGCCACACAGCTCACTCCAACCCACCACTGTTTGTCTACATTTAGTTATCGTTTACCTTTTAGTACTTGTCTGTAGGCTGCCTTGCACAGTCCTAAACCCTCATTCAGCTGGCGGCACTGATGTGCAGTTCTGTGCTCACCACCCACCAGAACCAAGGAATTTTCTGAAATTCCTTGACTAGTACGCAGAAGTAGGATTGGAGACGCCTTTGTTTTGATTTCAAACATTCTTTGTGTGGAGTAAAGAAAGACATACTGACTTACACAACACACTGACAACTCTCATTCGACCGAAAATGTCCATTCATCCATATTCCATAACTTACTTTATCTTTGCATTTATCCCTTCATCCTTCCATCCATTAGGTATTTCATCCTGTGTCCTTACTTTATGTATCTATCCATTTATTTATATATCCTCTTTATTGATCTATCCATCCAGTCATAACTTTCTTTTAACGGCTTTATCATTTGGTTATGAAATAAATGTATGGTTGAAGGGAGGTTACTATAGCTAAAATAAACTTCTAAACTTCCACTAGAGGCACCATCATATTTCTCTCCCCAAATGATAGCCTAAAACCTTTCTAATTCCTTATGAGTAATTATTACAGTTTGCATATACTGTGGTTTTAAAAGTGTAATAGTCTTATTTGTGATTAATTATGTGATCCAACTGCCCCACACTCAAAAGTCATAAGGTTGATATAGTAGTCTCAAAGTAATCAGACCAGATATTTTAATATATTTAACCGCTTCACTTAAGTAAAAGGTTTTAAACTTCTGCCACTACCAGAAAATACTTTCAAAGAGCTGAAGCAAGTCACACAATTTTTCTTCATGTAAAATTGCCAACTAGTGTTGATCTATTATTTATTGGTCGACATATAAGTCGACAACCCTGCTGGTCCCTCTACCATGATTTGTGGAATTGGGTGTTCTAGTGCTGCATTGAAATCCTACATAATCTGTGGCATTTTAGGACCAGGGTTGTTGACCACTAATTTCATTTATATACATGAATTGGACATGTGAATGTGAAACCCATCACTACTGTATATAAATTAAGTGTGTCTTTATATCGGTGGATAACATGTTTCTCTGTGTTCTGACCTCTGTTAGGGTTTTATGATGGAGAACCGAATCCCTGCTCTGAAGTGTGACTCTGATGTCTTTGTCACATTTGAAGGGGACAACGTCGTCATGTTACAGGTAAAAGAGCCAAAGCAAAGAGGGCAAAGTCCTCTTCAATATTTTACTCATGTGACGAGTGTCAGTGTAATGCGGTGGATCGAAGTCAGGCGCAGGACACAGAACTCGAAGAAACGTACTTTACTGAAATTAGTAAGGAATACAACACAGAAATATCTCCACACAGGGAGGAACTAACCCGCTCACCAATGACACACGAAACGAAAAACAACCACGCACAAAACACATTGGGAGCCACTGGGTTAAATAGGGAAGGCGTGATTACAATAATGGGCAACAGGTGTGTAACAATAGACAACAGGTGCAACATAGAAAATAGATCGACAGCAGCTAGTATTCCGGTGACGACGAACGCCGAAGCCTGCCCGAGCAAGGAGGAGGGGCAGCCTCAGCAGAATCCTTGACAGTACCCCCCCCCCCCCCCCCCCCCCCCCCCGACGCGCGGCTCCAGCCGTGCGTCGACACTGGCCTCGGGGACACGGCACGGGGCGAGTCGAATGACTACGGTGGAAATCCCTCAACATGGAGGGATCGAGGATGTCCCTCCTAGGGACCCAGCACCGCTCCTCCGGACCGTACCCCTCCCACTCCACGAGATACTGCAGGCCTCCCACCCGACGCCTCAAATCTAAGATGGAACGGACCGAGTACGCCGGTGCCCCCTCGATGTCCAGTGGGGGCGGAGGAACCTCCCGTATCTCAGACTCCTGGAGTGGACCAGCTACCACCGGCCTGAGGAGAGACACATGGAACGAGGGGTTAATACGATACTCAGGAGGAAGCTGTAACCTATAACATACCTCGTTCAATCTCCTCAGGACTTTGAATGGCCCCACAAACCGCCGACCCAGCTTCCGGCAGGGCAGGCGAAGGGGCAGGTAGGTTTCGGGTCAAGAGCCAGACCCGGTCCCCCGGTGCATACACCAGAGCCTCACTGCGGTGGCGCTCGCCTTCTGCCGCCCGATGGCCCACTGCAGGCGCACATGGGCAGCGTTCCAGGTCTCCTGTGAGTGCCGAAACCATTCATCCACCGCAGGTGCCTCGATCTGGCTCTGATGCCAAGGTGCCAGAACCGGCTGATAACCTAATACACACTGGAATGGAGTAAGGTTAGTGGAGGAGTGGCGGAGGGAGTTTTGGGCCATCTCTGCCCAGGGGAGGAAAACCGACCACTCCCCCCGCCGGTCCTGGCAAAACGACCTCAGAAACCTACCCACCTCCTGGTTGACTCTCTCCACCTGCCCGTTACTTTCGGGGTGAAACCCTGAGGTCAGGCTGACCGAGACTCCCAGACGTTCCATGAACGCCCTCCAAACCCTCGAGGTGAACTGGGAACCCCGATCAGACACTATATCCTCAGGTATCCCATAGTGCCGGAAGACGTGTGTAAATAGGGCCTCAGCAGTCTGTAGGGCCGTAGGGAGACCGGGCAGAGGAATGAGGCAGCAGGACTTAGAAAACCGATCCACAACGACCAGGATCGTGGTATTCCCTTGTGAGGGGGAAAGATCCGTCACGAAATCCACCGATAGGTGGGACCACGGTCGTTGTGGAACGGGTAGGGGTTGCAATCTCCCTCTGGGCAGGTGTCTAAGAGCCTTACACTGGGCGCACACCGAGCAGGAGGAAACATAAACCCTCACGCCCTTAGCTAAGGTGGGCCACCAGTACTTCCCACTAAGACAATGCACTGTCCGACTGATACCAGGATGACCAGAGGAGGGTGACGTGTGAGCCCAATAGATCAAACGATTGCGGACCTCCAGCGGGACGTACACACAACCCTCTGGACACTGGGGAGGAGTGGGTTCGTTACGCAACGCCCGCTCGATGTCCGCGTCCACCTCCCACACCACCGGTGCCACCAGACACGACGCCGGAAGTATGAGAGTGGGCTCCACGGAACTCTCCTCCGTGTCATACAGTCGGGACAGAGCATCTGCCTTAGCGTTCTGGGAACCTGGCCTGTACGAAAGGGTGAAACAAAAACGAGTGAGAAACATTGACCACCTTGCCTGGCGAGGGTTTAATCTCTTCGCCGCTCGGATGTACTCCAGATTGCGGTGGTCAGTCAAAATGAGAAAAGGGTGGTTAGCCCCCTCAAGCCAATGTCTCCACGCTTTCAGGGCTTGGACCACGGCCAACAGCTCCCGGTCCCCCACATCATAGTTGCGCTCCGCCGGACTGAGCTTCTTAGAAAAGAACGCACAGGGGCGGAGCTCGGGTGGTGTGCCCGAGCGCTGGGAAAGTACCGCACCTATCCCAGCCTCCGACGCGTCCACCTCAACCGTGAAGGCCAAGGAGGGATCAGGATGAGCCAGCACTGGAGCCGAGGTAAACAGGTTCTTCAGATGATTGAACGCCCTGTCCGCCTCAGCTGACCACCGCAGACGCACCGGTCCCCCCTTCAGCAACGAGGTAATGGGAGCCGCTACCTGACCAAAGCCCCGGATAAACCTCCGGTAGTAATTGGCAAATCCCAAAAATTGCTGGACCTCCTTCACCGTATTTGGAGTCGGCCAATTACGCACGGCCGAAATGCGGTCACTTTCCATCTTCACCCCAGACGCGGACATGTGGTACCCTAGGAAGGAGATGGACTCCTGAAAGAACAGGCATTTCTCCGCCTTGGCATACAGGTCATGCTTCAACAGTCGTCCAAGTACTTTACGCACCAGGGACACATGCTCGGCCCGTGTAGCGGAGTATATGAGAATGTCATCAATATACACCACTACACCCTGTCCGTGCAGATCCCTGAAAATCTCATCGACAAAGGCTTGGAAGACTGATGGAGCATTCATCAACCTGTCTGGCATTACGATGTACTCATAGTGTCCTGAGGTAGTGCTGAAAGCCGTCTTCCACTCATCTCCCTCCCGAATACGCACCAGATTGTACACGCTCCTGAGATCCAATTTCGTGAAGAAGCGCGCCCCGTGCAGTGATTCCGTCATACATGCGATCAGAGGTAAGGGATAGCTGTACTTGACAGTGATCTGATTAAGCCCACGGTAATCAATGCACGGGCGTAACCCACCATCCTTCTTCTTCACGAAAATTAACTTGAGGAAACAGGTGAAGTGGAAGGCCGAATGTATCCCTGTCTCAGAGATTCGGAGACATATGTTTCCATAGCCACCTTCTCCGCCTGTGACAGAGGATACACGTGACTCCGGGGAAATGCAGCGCCTACCTGGAGATTTATCGCACAATCCCCCGGACGATGGGGTGGTAATTTAGTCGCCCTCTTCTTACTGAAGGCGAGAGCCAAATCGGCATACTCAGAAAGAATGTGCACTGTAGAGACCTGGTTTAGACTCTCCACCGTAGTAGCCCCCAAGGAAACCCCTACACACTTCCCTGAGCACTGACTGGACCATCCCTTGAGAGCCCTCTGTTGCCAGGAAATAGTGGGATCATGAGTGGTTAACCAGGGAAGTCCCAACACCACAGGATACGCAGGAGAATCAATCAGATAGAGACTAATCCTCTCCTCATGACCCCCCTGTGTCCTCATTAAGAGTGGTGCGGTAACCTCCCTGATTAGACCTGACCCTAACGGGCGACTATCTAATGTGTGGACAGGAAAGGGCACATCAACACGAACAGTAGGAATCCCTAACCTATGAGAATATTGACGATCAATAAAATTCCCAGCTGCGCCTGAATCTACTAGCGCCTTTTATGCTGGGAATGAGGAGAAAACTCCGGAAACACAACCTCTATACACAACTGACCAACAGGGAGCTCTGGGTGAGTCGGGTGCCTACACACCTGCGATGGTCGACCAGTGCTCTGCTTACTGCCTCGACTCCCTGGGGAGCCTCCCCAGCACCGACCCGCAGTGTGTCCTCTGCGGCCACAGTTGGTGCAGGGGACGGCCCCTCTCCTGGTCTCCCTAAGCGCAGCACCTCCGCGCTCCATGGGGGTAGAGTAGGAGGTGCTGGGGGATGGAATGAATGGGCCCTGATCAGAACGTCCGCGGGTCTCCAACAGGTTATCCAGCCTGATGGACATCTCCACCAGTTGGTCCAGGTTGAGATTGGTATCCCTGCAGGCCAGTTCCCACCGAACGTCCTCCCTTAGGCTGCAACGATAGTGGTCGATCAGGGCCCTCTCATTCCATCCAGCGCTGGCTGCCAACGTCCTGAACTCCAGCGCAAAATCCTGGGCGCTCTTCCTCTCCTGTCGTAGGTGGAACAGACGCTCGCCCGCCGCTCTCCCCTCCGGTGGATGATCGAATACCGCCCGGAAGCGGCGGGTGAAATCCTCGTAGTGGACCGATGCAGCGTCAATTCCTCCCCACTCGGCGTTGGCCCACTCGAGCGCCTTCCCCGACAGACAGGAGATGAGGGTGGATACGCTCTCGTATCCAGAGGGCGCCAGGTGAATGGATGCCAGGTAGAGCTCTACCTGGAGAAGGAAACCCTGACACCCGGCTGGTGTACCGTCATATGCCCTCGGGAGCGAGAGCCGAATCCCACTGGGTCCAGGTGGCGAAGGGGTGGACTGTGGTATGGGTGGTAGAGTGGTTGGAGGAGGTGTGGGAAGGCCACCTCTCTCCCAACGGTCCATAGTATTCATCACCCTCTCCATGGCGGTGCCGAGAGCCTGGATGATACTCTCCTGTCGTTGAAATCGTTCCTCCATCGATTCGGACTGACTGGCTGTACCTGCTGACTCCATAAATGGTGCGTGGTTCTGTCACGAGTGTCAGTGTAATGCGGTGGATCGAAGTCAGGCGCAGGACACAGAACTCGAAGAAACGTACTTTACTGAAATGAGTAAAGAATACAACACAGAAATACCTCCACACAGGGAGGAACTAACCCGCTCACCAACGACACACGAAACGAAAAACAACCACGCACAAAACACATTGGGAGCCACTGGGTTAAATAGGGAAGGCGTGATTACAATAATGGGCAACAGGTGTGTGACAATAGACAACAGGTGCAACATAGAAACATAGAACATAGATCGGCAGCAGCTAGTATTCCGGTGACGACGAACGCCGCAGCCTGCCCGAGCAAGGAGGAGGGGCAGCCATATTATGTTGTTTTTGCTGTTGATCACACTTTTGATGTGAAATGTTTTAAACTGTTAATGTGATTTTCACATTTACTGTATACTAATCATGGCTCCTAGACAGACAAGTTGATAGAGTTCACAGAGTCTGCCTTTGTTTCTCAAAACTGTTAGATGAACCTTACAGTTTTGGCAAAAACTATAGACTGACATTTTCTAGAGCAGAGCCCCTGCAACTTGATAAGGGGATTGTGCTTTGAGAGAATTTCATTAGGATGTGTTTTCACACAATTGGTTATTGGATATTATTATTTTGTCTTATTGGGGATGAGGGGGATTTCTCCTTGTTTGCGAGTGTAGAGTGGAACTACGAAGCAAGTGATGAGTGTACTACACACACACACACACACACAACTCTGAAGTCTGAGAGAATAGGATACAGTGCTGTTGAGGCAGAGGGAGACTCAGAAATCAGATTAGCTCATCCTAAACGAGAATTATTCGCAGACCCTGGGAAATATTCATAAACCATCAAGTGGATAGTGAAATCATTGTCCCAGTTTGATTTCATTATGGAGGATATCTCTGTAGACAGGTGGTTAATTTGTATTTACAAGGGTGTGACTGTGAACATGAAGGTGGTTTTGTGTCAGACCAACTATTGTACAATCATATGTTCTTATCCTTTCGACATTGTTGTACAGTATAACTATTTTATTTTGCTTCATATACATCAAAGGACATGTAGTGCAAAGTCAAGTATGAAAAATCGCAGAGGGAACTTGAAGTCAAGCACAGTGTCAAGTCAGACATTTTTATCTGCCTGAATCTTGGCAACTGAAGTGTCTGTCTGCCTGGGCTGCAGTCACAAGGAGAGAGGAGGCTCTGCCAGCTGAACTCAACTCAACCCTCCACCACCAGTGTCCCCACTGCACCCCTAATGAAGATGACAGTCCCCAACCACATTTAATCAGTTTACAACTGACCTGAAAGCATGAATAAGGCCATACAAAAACTAATTGTTAGATATTACTTGTTAGATATTACTGTACTGTCGGAGCTAGAAGCACAAGCATTTTGCTACACCCGATATAACATCTGCTAAACACGTGTATGTGACAAATACAATTTGATTTGATCCAATCACAGCTGACCCAAACTGACATTTTACCCAAATTGAAACATGAAGGGTGTGCCAGATTGTATAGGATCTCTCTTTTACAGTTCCAAAAGTGGATTTCCCCATTTATGACATTGCTAGTGTTTCACCTATCATGAGATGGCAATTAACATCCAGCTCTACATTGAAAGACTGGTTATGCTACTGTATGAGCAGTTAAAATATGTATTGTTGCTAGGTATAGACCACTTCAGTTCAGTTTAGCTTCCCCCAGCCTTTGTTTTTCACAATGAATGTTGACAAGCAGGACATCTATACATTTATCTAGATAAATCCTGATCATCCACCATTGTCCCCATTCTTAAATACATGTAGCTGTACTAGTACAACAGAGGTTTGCATGTTTGACAACTCAGCATTCAAGCACTCAACCTTTGACCTCTGACCTGTCCCAGGTGGTGGTAAAGGAGCTCATGACCCAGTTCACCAGGCAGCTGGGAAACAGTGTGGTGGGCGGACTCATCAAAACCTGGACCAGCTCAGTGTCTGACAGCCTCAGAACCAGGTCAGTGAACGCCACAAGGTCATTAGAGGGTCATACATTGAGGGTGGTAGGTAGCCTAGTGGTTAGAGCGTTGGACAGTAAATGAAAGGTCGCGGGTTCAAATACCCGAGCCGACAAGGTGAAAAATCTGTCGATTTGCCCTTAAGTAAGGCACTTAACGCTAATTTGCTCCAGGGGCGCTGTACTACAATGGCTGACATTTCACTGTACCTATCTGGTGTATGTGACAATAAAATATATTTTTATTAGCTACACTTTAGGAAATGGATTAAAAATGTATACACTGCTTTTTCCGCCTCAAATAAGTACATTCACGTTAGCTATTTCTTGCTCATGGGGACAGTTTTAGACGCGTTTACACCCATAAACCTCGAGAATGTAGCATTCAAAATATAATGCAAAAACTCAGAAATGAGTCCACACTTTCAACTCCTCTCAAATATCTTCTTTATTCACAACTATTCTCATATTTCTTGTATATTCTCATATTTCCTAGTAGGGGAAACCACAATTTTTCTCAAAAGCTATCACACAAACTCTTTCATCTTATTGTGAAGTGGAACATTAAGCTATATGCTTTTTTTAAGAAGCTACAGTTTCCCTCTGCTACTATGGTAGTGTGGTTTTCCACTATCTGGTGACATGTCTTCACACTAGGTGTCATGTCCGTTTAGTGTGTACAACTTTTAAACAATCCCTGTGCTTGGCTTATGAGACCACCTTGAAAGTTATTAGAAGTCCTTAATGAAAGGACAAATGAAAGAACCTTAACAATGTGGTCAAACGCAGCTGAAAGTTAAAGGTCTCTTTCTATAAGGAGTTAAATCAAACCGGTCACTTGGGTGGGTGGATGGGATGGGTTTCATTTAGGTTTTATTTTCTAAATCGTTTTTTGTTTTGTTTTTACTGAATGTCATGTGAAAATGTGTCGGATGTGCACTGACGATGCAATTGTTATTTGTCCAATGCTGTTTATTCTGCCTATTTGCTTGAAGATACTGTATAATACAAACAATTGATCTAAAAAGTCCTTAATGAGAGAATAGTCTTCCTTGTACCCACTTGTGGAAGTGTGTGTGTGAGTGCGTTAGTACACTCAAATAGTACACTAACTTCCCCCTTTCCTCATGTCTATAGAATTGTGCAATGATATAATTTGTTCAGGTTGATGTCTGCTTGTCTTTCTCCGGTAGTTTCCTTGGCATCAATGTGGATACGGTGGGGGACCTGAATTTCCTGCTGAAAGCAGTGTCCTATAGGGAGAGGGTTCTACAGCGCAGCCTAACAACCAGACTCTACAACAAGGTCAGTCCATCACCCAGTCCATCTCATCTAAAGGCATTGCGTACAAGAAGTAAAGTCCAACAACAGAAATGTTAAAGGCATGAATTTACTATTTAGCACCAGTTTGTCAAACGTCTGTTTTGATGTTGATACAGCAAGGTGTAAATTGATTCACAGTTGATTTGGAAAGGATTGATCAAGACTTTATGAACTCTTAATGAAGCCTTGTATTGCTCTGTCCATTGTTTCCTGCAGGTAGAGAAGAAAAGAGAGGAGTTCTTTGATGCCTGGAACTCCTGTCTTCATCATGTGACCGGCCTGGCCATAGCACACATACACAGAGGTGGGTAGACTACAGGCTACCGTGGTCCTGGAGAGCTACTGCGTGTGCACTATGCAGGCTTTTGGTCCGGCCTAGCATTAACATATGATTCACCTTCGCATCGAGACTAGTTGATTAGTCGAATCATACGTGAACTTTTGTAACTCTCCTTGGCGTTAAGTAGATAAATGCATATAGTGGTCATTACGTATGAAAACTAAGTTAGCAGAATCTGTATTCGTGTACTAAAACTACGTGCATGAGTGTAGGGGGTTTGTGTTTTGAACCAGTGGGTCTATGTAAAGACATCACTGTCTCTTAGAAGACCATAACCTTTCCATTCTCTCACTTTCATCCCACACATACACACACACACACAACCTTAATCAGCCATAAAATACTAAAAAGCACAAAGGTGTCTGATGTTTGAAAGATAAGAGCGGTCTGGGGGCTGACTGATACACAGAGGCACCCTCAGTGTGAAAGGGTTTTGTTGTAATATTCCATTCCTTAGCAATATAATGCCTTTGCCCTATAGTTTTGACAGGACTTGAAAAAAAAGTTTCCTTAATTGCAGTGAAGTTGCATAGTAGTTGTCTCTTCGTGGTGCAGTAGCACAAAAAAAATCCAGTGTGATGGCCTTGATGTGGGTTAGTGCTTATGCCTAGTAACACTATGACTAGATGTCATGAGATCCTGTAATACTGTGGGTCTAGTTGTAGGTCTCCCCAACACAATTGGCCGACCGACACATACTGATTCTGAACAGTGATTCAGTTCTGTCATTTACACAAGATTCATATTCAGATACTTTTGTGGGTACAACATTTAGTTTTGTGCAACACTTTCTTTAGTGTGTTTATTGTTAATAAATTGTTAAGATTTATTTAGTCGATCATCACATTCTTATTAATTATCTACTGACTATAATTAATTACATGTGCATATGGGATCCTGTTTTGTATTACAATAAGGCAAAGCTACGAACCACAAAAGATAACCCAATATTTCATTACGTTTCCATGAAATGTTGTTCAGTGTGACTGTCACTGCATTGAGGCTGAACAATAGTGACCCACTGCCTAGCTGGGTAATAGCACTGTTTGCTTAGCCTCACTGTTTTTTGTTTGTTTCCATAGTAACTCTGGAGCAGTTTGCTCTGGCCGTTCAAGAGTGCCCAGTCGAAGAAGACCACACCTTGCTAACGAAGGTATGTGTGAAACCAGTTTTCCACTCTTGTGTCTCTCACCATTCAATAGGAAACCATAAGCTCTGCTTTTGAGTCATCAGTTAGGTCCTATGGAAAGTTCTCAGAAACAACACTTTGAACATGCTTCACGAGTTCTTTACAAGGTAATAATGTGATAAGTCCTCGTATGAACCTACTGTATAACCTAGTCACACCTGTCCTGTTCACATTTTGTGTGTTTACGAAGAATACAATTTGAGAATGCAAAAATCGTAAAATTATGTTTCCTATAATTCTTACTTGTCCTTGTAAAAAGAACATGTTGAGAAAACAGTCAAATTCTCACTTAATACCCTATGCAGTAGAATTTTAATTTGTATAAATTTTCTGCATTACTGTACCATCAGTGTTTCCCCTAGGATTCTTTTCAGTAGTGGTGGCAAGGGTAGCGAGTGGGGGTGCATCGCTACTAGCGTTAGTGCAATGAAATGCTAGCTGTTCCCATAGACTTCCAGTCATTGAGCCAAGGACTATCCATTTAAAAGCGCATCTCTGCAGAAATATATAAAAAACATGACATCATATTTTTTTGCAGCGGTGACAACAATTTAGCTACAGTGGGCTATCGCTGCTAAATGAATACAGGGAAGCACTGACCATCATGGAGTGACATATCAATGAGTGAGTCAGCTGTTCCTCTGCCACGTGTGTGGGTACAGCTGCAATTCCCATTCAGTGCCTTCAGAAAGTATTCATACCCCTTGACTTATTCTACATTTTTGTTGTGTTACAGCCTGAATTTAAAATTGATTTAATATCATTTTTTCTCACCTTACAGATAATTGTATGTGTGGGTTATAGAGATGAGGTAGTCATACAAAAATCATGTTAAACACTATTATTGCACACAGAGTGAGTTCATGCAACTTATTATGTGACTTGTTAAGCACATGTTTACTCCTGAACTTATTTAGGCATGCCATAACAAAGGGATTGAATACTTATTGACTCAAAACATTTCAGCTTTTCATTTGTAATTCATTTGTAAACATTTCTAAAAACATAATTCCACTTTAACATCATGGGGTTATTGTGTGTAGGCTAGTGACACCAAATGTCAATTTAATCCATTTTAAATTCAGGCTGTAACACAACAAAATGCGGAAAAGGTCGAGGGGTGTGAATACTTCCTGAAAGCACTGTATCTCTGCATCAGCCATAGTGTCAGCTGCTCCTAGTATACAATCTACACAGCTATCTACCCATCCTGTATGTGCTCGATTACTTTGCTGCTTTGCCTTAGTCCTGCATAGGCAGATAAGCCCCTTTCTTTGTGTACTATCAAGGTCTCTCCCCTGTACCTCTGTATCTCTAACTGTATGTTAGGGGCTGCATAAAGGTCATACTTCATTTTAGGATGGAAAACACCCTCTACCCACCCTCTACTGCTCTTAAAATATCATACATTTTCAAGATGGTATGTTTTTGTCTTTGTGTGATGCTTCTGGTTGCATGTGAACTACTCAAATAAACACATGTTTGGTGTCAGTGTTAGAACATTGTGTAGAACTGGCAGACATTCAGTCAGGTGACACAGTGTGTGGATGCAAAGTAGTAGCCTTATGTAAATGTCACATACTTGGAGTCAGAAGGGAGGCATCCTATGATTTCTTCTCGTTGGACAGACAGGTTAGGCATGGTGGATGATGTCTGTATACAGCTGGTGCTTATGGTGCTTTCAAGACAACTCGGAAACTCGGAACCTCCGAGTTAAAATGTGAATTTTTTTGTTTGTTTGCATATAGCTTTCAATTGGTTGAATCTGATATTTTCAAAGTGGGAAACTCTGAGCTCATCTTTCTACAATGAGTTATTTTTTGTATTTAAACAAACAAACAAAATTACAATGAGTTTCCAAGTCTGACATTTTTGAGTTTCCAAGTTCCGAGTTGTCTTGAACGCGGCATTAGCTACTGAAGCAGAAGCTGACTGATGTCATACCTGCTGTCTGTTCAATGAGCCTAGCGTTGGAAATGTTCACATTCCAACACTGCTTAAGGGCAATTCCATGGTAACATCTCAGCGTTGACAAGAAGACAACTTAATCCAAAAGGCAAAAAACACCAGTAATCCAAAAGGCAAAATAGTTTTTTACGGTGGTATTCATACACCATGCATTCAGTAAGCTAAAACATTAAAGCACATATAGAAACCACACCAATCGTGTGATTACCACAATAACAAGGCTTGTGCTGTTCTTATCACTCAACCCTTTTATTTTGGGTCAGACAGATATGGCCATAATGTTGGGACACACACAGCATGTCATCAGGGTCCTTTTACACATTAGAGCATGACTGAGACTGAGGCTAATATTGTAAACCAATATGCTGTCTAGAAAGCCTGACCATAATCTGACCTCATAGAGACTTGGAGGTCATATAATGTAGGTCCCATAGTAAGTACATACCCTATGTTAAACTACACTGTTAGCACCTTACATAATACATACACTATATATATATAAAAGTATGTGGACACCCCTTCAAATTAGTGGATTTGGCTATTTCAGCCACACCCGTTGCTGACAGGTGTATAAAATCGAGCACACAGCCATGCAATCTCCATAGACAAACATTGGCAGTAGAATGGCCTTACTGAAGAGCTCAGTGACTTTCAACGTGGCGCCGTCATAGGATGCCACCTTTCCAAGTCAGTTCGTCAAATTTCTGCCCTGCCAGAGCTGCCTCGGTCAACTGTAAGTGCTGTTATTATGAAGTGTATCTAGGAGCAACAACGGCTCAGCCGCAAAGTGGTAGGCCACACAAGCTCACAGAATGGGACCGCCGAGGGCTGAAGCGCGTAGCGCGTAAAAATCTTCTGTCCTTGGTTGCAACACTCACTACCGAGTTCCAAACTGCCTCTGGAAGCAACATGAGCACAATAACTGTTCGTCGGGAGCTTCATGAAATGGGTTTCCATGGCCGAGCAGCCGCACACAAGCCTAAGATCACTATGCGCAATGCCAAGCGTCGGCTAGAGTGGTGTAAAGCTCGCCGCCATTGGACTCTGGAACAGTGGAAACGTGTTCTGAGGAAGTGATGAATCACGCTTCACCATCTGGCAGTCCGACAGACGAATCTGGGTTTGGCGGATGCCAGGAGAACGCTACCTGCCCGAATGCTAGTGCCAACTGTAAAGTTGGGTGGAGGAAGAATAATGGTCTGGGGCTGTTTTTCATGGTTCGGGCTAGGCCCCTTAGTTCCAGTGAAGGGAAATCTTAACGCTACAGCTTACAATTACATTCTAGACGATTCTGCGCTTCCAACATATTGGCAACAGTTTAGGGAAGGCCCTTTTCCTGTTTCAGCATGACAGTGCCCCTGTGCACAAAGCGAGGACCGTACAGAAATGGTTTGCCAAGATCGGTGTGGAAGAACTTGACTGGCCTGCATAGAGCCCTGACCTCAACCCCATCAAACACCTTTGGGATGAACTGGAAGGATGACTGCGAGCCAGGCCTAATCGCCCAACATCAGTGCCCGACCTGACTAATGCTCTTGTGGCTGAATGGAAGCAAGTCCCCGCAGCAATGTTCCAACATCTAGTGGAAGCCTTCCCAGAAGAGTGGAGGCTGTTATAGCAGCAAAGGGGGGACCAACTCCATATTAATTCCCATGATTTTGAAATGAGATGTTCGACGAGCAGGTGTCCACATACTTTTGGTAATGTAGTGTATATTGGCGGTCCTATCTGTATGAATAGGGCTCAAATGCAGTCTTCCTATGCTGTTCTTATAGTCAGTCCTGTGTTGTGGTTTTTGTCAGTTTCAGATTGCTCCAAGCAATGTTGCTAACAAGGTCAGACATCCAATCTGATGTCAAATAATCTCTGATGGCCCCACGATGCTCCAATACATACCATGTAGACCTGCCTTTAAAGAGCATTTAGGGAGGATTGTCCTCGATAAGAAACTTAATGACCTAGTGATAAGTTTCTGTCCAGCCCTTTTTGCCAGGTTACCAGTTTTGCATAATAGGAAGAGAGTGGGAACAGAGAGAGGCCCGACGCTTCCGTGTGCCATTCACACAGCAATGTCAACACAATGTCATCATGGGCCAGACCTCATGTTTGACGAGAGCTGCCACAAACACCCCTCGTCCTCATTTACCACAAATCACACACACCAGGAAATTAGCATTCAGTTCACTCAGGTAATAAAGTTGCCAATAATGAAACATTTCTTGTTACGAACCATGGTTTATGGTGGACAGACGTAACATAAATCGTAGTAGCATCTGTCAACAGACTGTGGGATGCGACTACTAACGGGGAACTTAGTTCCGGGATTCTGACTTTTCGTCACTGATCATTTGGACAAATTACGATTTCGTGTTGCTTAATGTTAAAGATTTCTGGCTCACAATATTTTACTATCACTTTTGTCACGAGAAAAGCAAAAAATAACTGAGTTATCTATTGGAGTCTCGAAATGGCTACGTTATATTTTGGTCGGCCTATTCATTATAGAGATGGTAGGCATCTATTTTGAAACCATTGCTTCGTGTATTGAACCAAATGGAATCATATGATGTAGCATCATTTGGAATCTTTTGTTTTTAGATTATTTCTTTTTTTCTTTTAGCATTTTAAGTAGAAGCATGTAAGTGGCCGTAGGGAGCACCAATGTCTGACCAATTGTCTGACCTAGCGCCTGGAGACGTAAGTCAGACAGATTCCAAATGATGCTACATCATATGATTCTATTACTCTGGTCCACACGCATGGTTACAATATTGTTATGAATTGCAACCACTCTAAACAGATATCATATCAATAGTATTTATTTAATTTGATAGATTGAGTTTGTTGTCTACTGATGGCCTCATCTTCACCCAGTTATGTTTTATGCCAGCTCTTACACTGGTTAGATTTACTTGTATCTGTACTGAACTAACACTGCCGTTTATCTGAGGACGTGCAATGTTACACACATTTCTTGGTGGTAAAATTCAATAACTCCCTTTATAAATACGTTTCAATGCTTTAAAAAGTTTGTAATGTTTTTATATACCGGAATACTCATTTAGTAT